GCACGGTGCGCGAGGGCGGCTGGTGGACAAACGTCGCCTGCGCTGCCACCAGCCGCCCAGTTGCGGCGATGGGCAGCGCCGGCTGGCGGCAGCCGGGGCAGTTTGGTGTCGCGCTCCAGCACGCGCGGCGCACATGTCTCGCAGTACAGCGCGTGGCCGCACGCGAAGCGGACCGAGCGCGGCGCGTCGTAGCAGAGGTCACACAGGCGCTCCTCGGCCCCAGCCTTCTCCTCCACCTCCCCCGCCGCTTCGACCAGCGCCTCCAGCCGCGGCAGCGCGTCTGCGAGCGGCATCCGCTTCTTCTTCTTCACGAGAGCTAGCCCGACCACCAGCCGCGCCAGCTCCTCGGCCTGCGCCGCCGACCACCACAAAACGCTCTCTCTCTCCTGTCCTCACTCAGGGGGGTCACAACTACCAAGTCCCTCGACTAGCTGCCACAGGGCGCAGCTGCCATAGGGCGCAGCTGGAGACGCTCTCCCTCAATCGGCATCCACCCCCACCCGCTCCAGCCCCACTTCTGCTGCCGAGAGAGCTGCTACCCAACGCGGCCAAAGGATATCCACCTCGAGAACCTCGAGAGGTGCTAAAGAAAGAAAACAGAGAACCCAAACGAGGGATAGGGGAGGAGGACAGGGTCCACACCTGCACCCTGCTCGAGAGGTGCTGAAAGAAAGAAAGAAAACAGACAACCCAAGGGAGGGATGGGAGAACGGCACGCCGCCACCACACAGGGATTCGAGAGGTGCTCTCGCGACAGCAGCCCGATTTCTTCGTGCCAGTGTGCTGTGAAAAGAAAGAAAGAAAACAGACACGCCAAACGAGGGATGGGACGAGGACAGGGTCCCCACCTGCACGAGCAGGATTTTGGAAGGACGATCAGGGGGACAGGTGGGGCTCTCCTGCTCCTGACAAGGGACACGACAGGCTCGCAGCGCGGTGCGCGGTGGACTCCCACATCCACTGGCGGTCTCATCTCAGTCTAGCGACCTGCCTCCAGCTTGTCGCTGGCAGTCTCTCCTACCACAGGCACACTGACACAGGGCACTGTGAGAGGGGGGGCACTATCTCAGACATACTTGATTTTTCCAGGCGATCGGATTTTTCCGCACCCTCGAAATTCGTAACAATCGCCTCGCCGCTCCACAATGCCTTTCTCCGTTGCCTCCAGCCGCGCGGCGCCATCGTCCTCGATCCAGTGCCGGCCTGTGACAAGCTTGGCAGCTCGCGGATCGACGATCGCCACGAGCTGCTGCCCGGCGACCGCCGCTCGCCTTCGACGACAGTCGTAACAATCGGCGGTGAGCGGCACCTCCTTGGCCCAGCACCGGTGTTATCACGTCTCAGCTGCTTCATTGCCATGTCCAGTTATGGCGGAGACGCGCTGATAGCATTCCTGTGCACGCAGTTGGACCAGCACGGCCATCGGGTGCGTGGCGCAAAAAGACCTGTTTGCGCTGTCTTCGATATCAGCGGCTACATGCGCTGCTGCGCGTACCTGTGACGCACACATGTTGATCACATCCATATACCTCACTAACATACAGCTGGCGAGCCTTGCATCCCTCGTCTGGCCATGCTGTGCATCATCTCACCGTATGCAGCCGTATACGCCCACGGTGCTCACAGGGTCGGGCGTCACGGTGCTCGTGGCAAGCATCTCCGTCACTCTTGTGACTTGTGGGCTTGGTGGTGTTGCCTCCGGTGCTACTGCTGGCTAGGGTGCCAATGGCGCGACGGGAGGCGGCCATTGGCGCCACTACAGCAACGATTGTTACGCCGTGGAAAAATCCGGATTTCGTGCCCCGAACCGGCCGACACGTGGCCGCATATATGTATATATACCACGTCCGTATGGGCTGCACAAGCCAAACCACGCTCATCACAGCTTGCCACAGTGTGGCTCCTGGCAGTGGTAAGCCATTCTTGGTGTACCAGCTCACAGCAGGGCCGTTTGATCACGATTGTTACACGGCGTGAAAAATCAAGTATTTGTGAGATAGCGAAGAATTCTTCCTCGCACGCTTGCCGGGGGGCAGAGTGCAGCACCTCCCTCGTCGGCCTGCGCGGAACCCCACACTCGCCCGAGTCCAGGCCCCATGGCGTCGATGGGGGCGGGCGCCTCGTCGGGCAACATCGCGCTGCGCAACTGCGTCCAAAAGTCGCTCGTCTTCACCCCCGAGCTCGGCAAGACTGCGCTGCGAGTGAAGAGCTTGTGCGCAAAAGCCCGGCCCTGGCCTCCCCGCTGCCGCCGCCGCCCCGGCCGCGCGCGGGCGGATCTCGCGGCTGCCGCGAGCGCCGCGACCCCTCCTGGCACCGCATTCCGCGCCCCCAACGCACACCGCGCCTCTTTGCACGCGGCACATGCCTCGCGGGCGAGGGCTGCGGCCGCCTCTCTCACCCCTTGCGCGGGGTGCGGTGGCGCAGGCACCGCGACTGCCTGCGGTCGGTGGCGTGGACGAAGCGGGCGTACACCGTCCCGCTTCCCGAGCGGGAGATGCGCGCCCTCGTCTCTCTCGCGTTTCGTGAGAAGTCTTCGATCAGCGACATGCACCAGGCAAATCCCCCCACCGCCGAGATCATCCGAGATCGCCGCGAGGGTCACGCGAGGGTCGCGCGAGGGTCACGCGAGGGTCGCGCGAGATTACGCGAGATCACGCGAGAGAGATCACGGGCGCGCGTCGGGCTAGCGGGCTGCGTCCCGCCTTCCTCTCTCTCTCTCTCTCTCTCTCTCTCTCTCTCTCTCTCTCTCTCTCCCTCCCTCTCTCTCTCTCTCTCTCTCTCTCCCTCTCTCTCTCTACCTCTCTCTCTACCTCTCTCTCTACCTCTCTCTCTACCTCTCTCTCTCTCTCTCTCTCTCTCTCTCTCTCTCTCTCTCTCTCTCTCT